TCATGGACCTGTACCTCTGAAACAAATAATACATTATATGTTAAAAAAAAGAAGATAGTAGGAAGGGAAAAATGAAGGGGGGGCACTGGAGGGGGAGACGAACCATGAGAGACAAACTGAGGGTTCTAGAGGGGAGGGGGTGGGAGGATGGGTTAGCCTGGTGATGGGTATTAAGGAGGACAGGTATTGAATGGAGCACTGGGTGTTACACGCAAACAATGAATCATGGAACACTACATCAAAAAAAATTTTTGAATTTTGTTACTTTTGTAATTAAAACATTTTAAAAATAGTACTTGTTATCTTAAAAATATATATACACACTGATTTGAAGTAATCATATGGAAGTGTTGGATTATAGCTAGCTCATGACTGAATTCTCCAAAGTGAGCTTGAGTGACAAATTCTGTATTGTTAAGGACAAATCTATGTACTCTTGATTCCAAATGCATGATTGGTAAAGATGATATTCTAATAGGGGAAATAGGCCATATAGCAGCACTTGCAAGAAAAGACCAAATTTCTTCTCAGAAAAATTATGGTCTAGGGCTGAGATTATATTTGGTTAATTCTCCAGAGGATTGAACCAGAAATGTGGAAAAATGGTAAATCCAGTCTAAATAATTTTAAACACAACCTTAACCATAAAGGAATATGTGATATTGAGTGGACTACATCCTGATATATTTTCTGGGAGTATATATAGTTGAAAAACTATTTTTCTAGTTGAATGACTTGTCTTTACTACTGGATGGGGTTATTTATTATTACCTATTTAACACTAATGAAAGTTTGCAAATACACATTTAACTTTTGCAAAATTATTTTTTAAAATGCTATTTTTGACAAAATTTAGGTGACAAGCTCAACTTCAGTTTGCTGCTAGTTTATAGTAATAAAATAAAATTATTGATATGCTCCTATTCTTATTTGGAATGACAAGTAGACATAGCCAATTCATCAACAACTACAAAAAAATTTAGACCTATTTTAGACCATTTGGAAGTGGAATTTGATTAAAACAGCTGATCTTTACAATTTTGATCTTAGAAATGTCATAAAGGAGGACTTTGGAAAAGCTCTGACAGTCAATTATCTGTAGAGATATTATGCATTTGACCCACAGGTAGTTCCTGTCTGTGGAACCAAAGCCTGAATGGAAAGCATAGAAAGGTGAAAAGTCTTTTCTCAGTTATTTTCTCAAATTAAACAGAGTTTGGCAGTGTTCACTAGTGAAGTGTTTCTAATTAAAATGTTTGTTTCTCATGGGAGATGTTAACATGAGAAACTGTTAAATTTGTAGAGGATAATGCTGGTATAAAGAGATATCAAGAAAACGAATATGTTCATAATTGGGGAAGAGGGCTGATGACTTCCCATTTTTAATATAAGGTATTTCTTTTACAATGGAGTGTTGGACTTACTTTCTAATGGCTAAATTTGGCAAATTTTTAGGAATTTTGTGAGATGGTGTTTTAGCTTAAAATTGGCTGTGGTGGAAGAAATTATACCATGGAAATTGACAAATGCTATTGATTAGGACTTTTTTCCCCTGAAGAGTGAGCCATTAAACATTAACCAGCACACCAATAGTTGTTACCTTTTGAGTACATTTTCAGGATAATCACTTATGGCAATCATGATTAGTAATAGTTAGGCTTAGATTGGGGCCTTTCATTTAGGGCAAGAAATAGCAATGGACTATTTCCTGGAGTCATTTCCAGCCTCAGGTGATTACTGAGATGTTTTAAAGTAGGTACAGTTGTTTGATGCCAGATAGGGGGATCATTTAGACACAGGAACCAAATAGGACTGTAAAGCTGAATTAAAGAACTCACCTTTCAGTTGTGTTTCTGGGATTCTATCTGCAAAGGCAGGACTATAGGCAACAATTTTCCAAATCTACATTATGGGTCATGATGGCTAAGTGAAAAGCTTCACACTGGAATCTGTTGTCAAGGATATGCAGTTTATGAAAGATTTTAAAGTAGGTTAATGCAGGGCTGCATATATCTTCATTTGAAGTATTGTTTTCCTAATTTTTCTGTGCCTTTTCCCTCCTATTCTAGAGATCTTTATCAACCCAAGGGTTATAATCTGATTGCCCATTGTGGAAATTAATGCTGGTGTCAGCCTACCCATGTTGGTATGAATCGAGAGAGAAAAAATCTCTCCCAAAAAGAAAATCTGAATAGAGAGTTAAGAATTTTGAAGCACATAATATTTTCAGTAGAATTAAACAGAATCTCCAACTCAACTTCTTATTCCTCTCAGTTAGTTTCCCAGCTAAATGTATGGTCATATTAAGGTACTGTAATATTAATAGTTAGAATAAGTTTGATGGTATAACAGTCAATCTAAATTCAAGGAAAAATACTACTTTGAGGATAAAAATAGACAATGGAGGGCTGGTCATTAAATAATCAATACCCCTTCATTCCATGATGTATGTATAATTTCCCATGATTTATCATATAGGTTATCTATTAGCTATGTTAAATTTTTATAAAAATAACCTTGACTAGGCATTATCCTGCTTAAGTTACTGGTGAGGAAGTTGTTACAACAGTGGATCTGCCATTCACTCTCTTCCTTTAGTGGGTTAGAAGGGTGGGGATGTGGGGCAGGGACACTCCTGGGGAAAAGCAAGTTACCTGGTCTAATCTCTTTGTAATTATGCTGGTAAATAGCTGTGCTGTCAAACAGACCAGTGATATTTACTAGGAAAAAGGTCCTTATTTACGAAATACTCTTAGCAGGATCTCTCTGGTTAAGGACTGCTTATAGTAAATAAACCTACAACTATAGAATTATCAGGCATGGCTCCCTATAAAATATCACATAAACTCAAGTATAAAATGGAGGCATTTCATAAATGAAACACTCCCTTGTTATATGAGATCACTCACACAAAATCTCACTTGGAGATCTTATATTTTAATCTAAGCTAGAGAGTATACAGAAAGAAAGGACCTGAGAAGCCACAGGAATGTCCCAGACCCTGTGTATCCTTGAAATTATAGTAAAGCTTGATACTGGGTAAGATCTCCTATGCATGTTAAGTCTGATATGACAATCCTTTGTGTTAGCTCAGTTGCTATCACTGGAAAGATTTTCCATAGGATTGCAATTTTCCCAATTTAGATTTCCTCTGGATAAAGCTTTGTAAGAATCATTGTCAGTTTGGAAGGTTTTTCTCAGATGAATGTTGTTTGAATCCTGATAAATTAATTGTATGCCATTTTTCTCTGTATGTATATTTCCTAGTTGCTATGTGGGACAGTGCTCATGATTCCCATCTAGCCTTGAACAGGCTTTTATATCACTCTAGAAAGGGCTTCCTGAGCTCTAGTAGTAGAGCCACAAATACTGATTGCCTAATTACTATGTACCAGGCACCAAGCTGTATTCTGATACAAATGTGGCAAGATATACTTGGTCTCTGCTCTTGGGTGGAAGTCCACATTTCATTTTGTCTTTGAGATTTGTCTTAGAGGTATGGACAGAAGTAGTAAAAATGGTAAGAGGAGGGCTAACAGATCATCACCAAAACACTGAGAGAAATGTTATGGCTGTGTAAAGTTATGTATACATTTAACCCTCTTATCTGCATACTATATCAGGAGAGAGTCTGGGCAGGCTCAGTTCGGACAGTGCCTTATAGAAACAGGTTGAATTCTGAGCAGGTAAAACTAAAGCAGGACCTTATCTAAGGGAAGCCTTGAGTGGGTAGAGATGGAATATTAAAGCCAAGTCAAGGTCCATTATCAGGAACTGATTCAGATGTTAGGTACACCAAGGACAAATGCCAAGTTTAAAGGTCCAGAGGAAGTCTGGGATTGAGATGCAGAAATAGCTTGGACCAAGAGCAGTCAAGAACAAGAGATTTCTTAGAGGGGACTGCTGAGAAGAGCTTAGAACATTTAGAGCTAACTTTTTTTTTAGCAGATGTATGCATGTGGGTTGGTTGGGTTTATAAGTCTAGAAGCAGAGTGGACATCTTTGCATCACAGACTATATGCCTCTGCTTCACAGAGTATTTACATGGCATATAAATAAGGTAACATGCCAGCAGAGTTTTCGTTGGTGTGTTTGGAACCTTTATGTTCAGAGGAGTTAAGTCTTGTAAATCTTGTAACAAACAAAATAATGTTACCTGGATTTTATTATATCCTAGGAAGAGTTTCTCTAGTTTTACCAAAGGTTGTAATTTGCTCAGCTCTTGTAGTCTGTTTTCTTCCAGGTGAAGTGCCAACAGAGAGCTTGGTTTGGCAAAGGCACTATCATTAAATGCTCTGATGCGGTTATGGTCCACTACCAATTCCTGAAGGACTACTAAATTGTCAAGCCCTTCAATTTGACTAATTTCATTCCCTGGAGAAACATAAGTCATGTCAGGTGAGCCCAAACATTCTGAATAAAAGGTTACCTATCTTAAATATTTTTTATAAAATGCTTTTTTAAAAAGTAAAATATTAAAAAGAACATATTTCCAATGAGAAATAGAAATGTATTTATAGGAAGGTACCATCATTATCAAGTAATATTTGGTAAAATTTCTCCTTTATGTTTGAAAGACAAAGATATGAAGTATACAATGTATGTAATTGACCCAATCTGTCTGTTCAGTAATTGAGTGCTAAAAATAGTTGGTATTGACAAAAGTAGATGTATAGAAGTGCTGCAGAAGATATACTTCCTGAGTATATCTGATTATTCTAATAGGTATTCAAATACTTATATTTAAATCTTTATTAAAGTAAATGAATTGTGTTTTAAGTTGGAAGAATATACCTTAATAATGCTATTATTTCTTTCTCAACATATTTTTGCACAACCACATTAAAAAATTAAAAATGAATTAAGCACTCATTACATTCTTTGAAATCTCAGTCCTTTCTTTATAATCTATGATTTCTCTTTTTTAAATTTTATTTTATTATGTTATATTAATCACCATACATAATTAGTTTTTGATGTAGTGTTCCATGATTCATTGTTTACGTATAACACTCAGTGCTCCATTCAATATGTTCCCTCTTTAATACCCATCACCAGGCTAACCCATCCCCCCACTCCCCCTCCCCTCTAGAACCCTCAGTTTGTTTCTCAGAGTCCATAGTCTCTCATGGTTCATCTCCCCTCAGCTTTCCCCCCTTCATTTTTCCATTCCTACTATCTTCTTCTTCTTTTTTTTTAAAGATTTTATTTATTTATATGACAGAGAGAGGCAGCGAGAACAGGAACACAAGCAGGGGGAGTGGGAGAGG